GTACATGCATCGTGGACCTCGAGGAAAAGCCGGTGAAGAGTGGAGGTGATGCGGAGAGCCTTCTGCAGGACGCGTTGAAAGCCTCGCCCAATGCGGAGGAGGCTGTTCTCCTGCAGTTGGTGGTGAAGCAGATCAAGCGTCCGAGCAGCACGACCACCGATGTGTCGCTCTCGGCGATGCAGTTGCTGTTCGTAAAGGAGCGGGGTGACTACCTGGCGGCCCTCCACGATAAGGACGCGAAGTTGCTGCCCGTCCCACTCTTCAAGGACGCCGTGGGGGGAAACAGCTGCACGCTGGTCGTCGCCGCCGTGTCGGGGGGTGATGCTGTTGGGGAGACGAACATCCTCAAGAATGTGTTGAGGCTGCGGAAGGTGAAGAATTCCCCCTCGCGCAGTGGCAATCTCACCCGCTTCGTGGAGTTCACAAAGGAGCAGGAGAGGAAGTGTGTGGCCGCGTTGGCGTTGACAAGGAGCGCCGCGGAAAAGGCGCGCTATAAACGAATAATACGGAAGATGATAGTTGTGCTGGCTGACGCACAGGAATTGATGGCCAAGCCGGAGGGGGCGAATGCAAAGATGTATCCTGTGCCCTGCATCTCTAATGGGAAGGTGTATAAGCGAGGTCAGATATAGATAGCCATGTAAGTGCGTATGTGTGTTTATGTGTGCTTTTAGTTTTTACCTGTCGATGACCGTTTGGGAGACGGCATGTAGTTACATATGCCATTAGTGTGTAGTTTCCTACCTTCGTTTTTTATGTGATTGTGATGATTGGTTTGTGGAGAGCGGTCTCGTGACATTTTATTAGTAATGCTTTTATTGTTACCATTGTTTCCCTCCACAGCGTCATTGTTGGTTAGTACGACTTCGTTTGCCGGGAGTACTGCAGGGGGGAGGGGCGCAAACGGAGCCGTGGAAGGGAAGGCTGGGGCTGGTGGAGAGAGGATGTGGCGCGGCTGGCTGTTTCTGTATGCTGGCTCAGTGGGCATTTTTGTTATGGATTGTCGTTTTTTTTTTTTGCTCAAATATCTTGATCTGAGATGTAACCGCCTGCAATGCCAGCCTCTTGGCGGAATAAGTAAGAAAAAAGGATGAACGAAAAGCGGCCTGCTAGTCTGTGTGCGTTTTTTTTCTGTATTTTTTTGTCTGTGCGTGTGCGAATTGTAATAACCGCAGCTCTGACTCCCATGCCAGTTGTATGCGGACTGCGGCGGTTTATCCTGTGGGTGTGGCGCTTCTCGCTGTGTGGGGCTTGACGCTGCAGCAGGTGGCGATTTCCCGGCCCACACCCGGCCAGCGCCGTAGTTTTGTTGGACGCCGGCGGTTTGGCTGCTGCTTTTCTGGGTGGTTTTCTCTCTTTGATGTGATCTCGCTCCCTGGCCTTTCTGCCCTGCGTTCTTGGCCTGCCTCCCCCCAAGAAGCCGCGTGCCACTCTGCTGTGGGCCCACGGCACGTATTTTGTTTGTTTATTGACGATGTTTAATTTTCATTTTATTTTATTTTATTTTTTTCTGCAAGCGCGCGGGCGAGAGGGTTGCGGCGTTGGGCCGAGTGAATGTGACGCGCACGCCAAACGCCGGAGAGGAAGCTGTGGGAGAAGGCCCCAGCACGGGAGTTACCTTACCCGCCGGTCTTCTTGTGCCGCGCCCAACGCGGCGGGTGCGAAAAACATAACAAAAAAAAGAGACAAACAAGGCGGTCAATAACGGCCAATTGTGTTACGGCGCCTATGTGGTTTCTTTTTACTCTCCCCAACTCGACGCAATCAATTTGTGTTCGGTGTTTTATAGTTCCTGCTTTTTTTTTGAATAAAAAAAAACTCATTTTGTTTCGGTTTTAAATTTCTCCGCATGCTGAATTTGGTTTTTGAGTAGTTACCGTGGCCCCCGCAACTTTTTGTTTGACGTGTGCAGGAGGCCCTGTGAGTTGTGCAGCATGCGCACCGGGGACGAGTTCTGGCTGGTGCCGGACGACTGTGTGCGCCGTCGTTATTGCTGTCGCTGTCGCCTCCCCACTCCCGCTCCGTCTTTTGCCGAAGAAAGAGATGTTAAGCCACGGAAGCAACACAATGGGCACCGAGAAGGAGCTAATAAACAGGTCTCTGCTGAAGAGGAGAGATTCCGCCGACATGAAAGGCGGCTCCGCCATCAAGCATTCGTCGGGTGGGAGGATGGATCCGCCTGAGAAAACTGGGAACGCGCCAAAAAATGGCACCCACCAACCTTCCAATTACCCACCACCCGCAAAAGAGTCTTCGTTCAGAAAGGACAGCTTCGCCATGATGCGTCGAAGCAACAATGGCAGTTTCAGGAAGTCCTCAGAAGGGGGATCCGCCCTGCCTCACCCTGCACCTGGACAGCAGAACGGTGAAGTCGTTGCGCCCAACACCATGCGCGGCAGTGGTGTGGCTCCTCAGGGAGGCATGGGCGGTGGAGGTGGAACTCTGCAACCTGAGCAGGACACTCAGCGCAATGGATCCATGTACGGTGGAATGGGACCACAAAGGGGCAGACCGTACCCTGCGGGGGGCCAGAACCCTGGACCTATGTACGGTGGGGGACCAAAGGGCCCAATGGGGGGCTCCATGTACGGTTCGCAAGTGGGTATGGGAAGCATGTACGGTATGGGAGGTCCAATGGGTGGTTCTATGTACGGTCCGCAAAGGGGCATGGGAAGCATGTACGGTATGGGAGGTCCAATGGGTGGTTCTATGTACGGTCCGCAAAGGGGCATGGGAAGCATGTACGGTATGGGAGGTCCAATGGGAAGCATGTACGGCTTCCAAAGAGGCATGGGAAGCATGTACGGTATGGGAGGCCCAATGGGAAGCATGTACGGCTTCCAAAGAGGCATGGGAAGCATGTACGGTATGGGAGGACCAATGGGGAGCATGTACGGCATGGGAAGCATGTACGGCATGGGAGGACCTATGGGCTCCATGTACGGCTTTCAACGAGGCATGGGAAGCAGGTACGGCATGGGAGGCCCAATGGGGAGCATGTACGGCATGGGAAGCATGTACGGCATGGGAGGGCCTATGGGCTCCATGTACGGCTTCCAACGAGGCATGGGAAGCATGTACGGTATGGGCTCCATGTATGGCAGCGTGGGTCTAAGTGTTATGGGTATTGGCGGTCTTTGGGCTCCTCCCGATGATTTTCAGGTGCGGAAAAAAGAAGATGCCGACCTTCCGCGTCAATCATCATCGAACCGGCTTAATGCAGCTCCTAAGCCGACGGATGTAAAAAGTGCAGCCAGCAGTTCCAAAAAGGATGAAGTCCAGTCCACGGCAAAAAGTGATGCTAAGAGTGAGACCAAGAAAGGGTTGGAGACTGCCTCGAAGCCGAAGGAAGACGAAGCCGTGAAAAAGGACAGCAAGCCCCCGACGACTGCAAGGCCGACTGAGCTCAACGACAACGTTCACTCCTTGGTGGTTGTGAGCGACACCGCCGCCTCCGCTGTCACGGAGAAGGAGACCGAGAAGAAGGTGTCAGTGAAGGACACTGACGGCAAGGTGGTCGAGTACGAGGCGGACGAGCTGCTGCGGGCGAGCAAGGCGGCCGTGGAGAACTCCGCGCTGCTGCAGGTGCTCCGACAACAGGTGGAGGCGGGCCACCACTGTGCCGTGATCCTGGCCAACGGCAAGCAGCAGGGGCCGGTGAGCCTGAGCGTTGCGCAGGCCCTCTTGAAGTCCGTCATGGCTGCGCTCAAGAAGAATGAGGAGGAGAAGGGGATC